AGGGGGGAATGTGCCGCAGGATTTATAGAATTCCTACCCCAGTATAGTCTATTATGTGGCAAATTAGAGACACCATCTTAGTCACTTTTGGATAAATTTAATTTTCGCCATCTCAATTTAGTCACCTTTTGTTAATGCATCTACCCTATAAAGCCTTTTAGTTAGGTCGTCATTAAATTATACGCGAAAATTCTAATGCTGCCATGAAGCAAATGAAACAAAAGCCAATTTATCGGGGTCATGTTTTAACATTTTAAACCAACGTGTCACCCTTAATTGCTTTCAGTGCGAGAACCTTCTGCAGATTTCGATAAAATCAGGTCCTTCACGATCTCAGCGTTATCAAAACAATACAATAGCTTCATACATGCATTGATTATATATCCAGGCCGAGGTTCCTCCTCTCCACTGTAATTTCTCTTGTAAATACCTCCAACATGTGGGTCGTGCTACAAATCCAAGTTTCCAACTTTGAAACCGAAATCCATTGTATCTTCATCCATGAATGTTTGGATAATGCCAAGCTTTACCTTTGTCACTTTGGCTTGTTTCAATTTAGGAATGTATTTCGACACACCGGCTAAGATTTTTTACCCTTGGCGTATTTCTCGTTTTCTGTGAGATTTAAGAATACATGCTCGAATTCTGGTTCCAATTCTTCAGAGGTACTCACGGCCATGTTTGTCTCTGGTGCATAAGTCAACATTCCAACTCTGTTCCCTTTGTTGGAAAACATGCAGGAGGGTCCCATACAGAAGAACATTGACGGCATGTGGATGAGAGCTTCGGGCAGTTGCGCCGTGGTAATTGCTTTGATTCTGTTGCATCATTTCCTTATTAGAGCGGAAATACCAAGCATCTTGTTGAATTTGCAAATGTTGTACCACGAGGCATTCACAGTTACCGCGGCAAAAACCTCTACGTTGCCCCTAGCTGACATATCTAAGGCTTTTATTAAGTATACACCACAATCTTCAAGCGCTGAAATCTCAGTGACTTCAGTGTTTGTTCTAATTTCAACTATTTTCTTGTCTTGAAAGTGTTCCACCTGATTTATGATAAATCTCCTCAACCTTGACTAATCCAGTAACTCCTCCGCAGTCTCGATTCCCATTTCTATCTCTTC